GTCACGGACCTGGTGGCTTTGCCATAAGCTCTGTAGCCTTTGCACCATATCACTTCACATCCCAGCTCCTGGAGTCGTGCAATTACATGGTACCTTCTTCTGTCTTTTGATTTTCAATTTTTTTTTTTTTAGAGAGAGGTGATCCTCTATTCTTCCCTGGTGAGACCTAACCTGGAGTCCTGTGTCCAGCTCTGGAGCCCCCAGCACAAGAAGGACATGGACCTGTTGGAGTGTGGTCAGAGGAGAGCCACAAAGATGATCAGAGGGCTGGAGCAGCTCTCCTGTGAGGACAGGCTGAGGGAGTGGGGGCTGTTCAGCCCAGAGAAGAGGAGGCTCTGGGGGGACCTTATAGCGCCCTTCCAATACCTGAGAGGGGCCTACAGGAAAGCAGGGGAGGGACTATTCACAAGGGTTTGGAGTGACAGGACAAGGGGTAATGGCTTTAAGCTACTCTTGCAAACAAAAGGGCAGATTTAGGTCAGATGTTAGGAAAAAGTTCTTCAATATGAGGGTGATAGACCACTGGAATAGGTTGCCCAGACAGGTGGTGGAGGCCCCATCCCTGGAGACATTCAAGGCCAGGCTTGATTAGGCTCTGACTTAGTTAGAGATGTCCCTGCTTATTGCAGGGGGTTGGACTAGATGACCTTTAGAGGTCCCTTCTAACCCAGACATTCTATGGTTCATTCTATGATTCTATGATTTTCTGAAGAGAAATTTCAAAGCCATGTGGTTCTGGCAAATATCTTGAAAAATTCCACTTAAAAGAGTAAAAAAACTCCACACAGCCCAGAAAGGATCTTTAAAATAACTCATTTCATCCTTACAATATAGACAAAATACAGTCCACCTACTCTTTCACAACAAGCAAATAAAATTGATCCACAAGGCATACCATTATTATTATTTTTATTATTATTGTTGCTCTTACAATCAAAAACAAAGCTAATGCTGCTTCCCTGAATAGGGGGCAACTCTTGCTCTAGATGAATAAACCACAGTTCTGCTGAGATATTTAATCAAATTCTGTCTGACTGATGAAACTGGTCCTGAGGGGAAAACAAAACAAAACAAAACATGTTGTACATGTTAAAGTCATTAATCTCAGGTGGATTTTAGGTTTCCTGTTCTTTCTCCACCTCTCCCACATCTTGTTTCCTGCTTTGTCTCCCATGTGTAGGGGACAAAGTCCAGCCTGTGCTGGCTCCCATCTCCTCTTGGGAGCAAAGTGGTGGCATTTCATGACCCTCTGCCTAACGCAGGGAAGGAAAATCCTTCATGGTGAGGCTGTTAAGGAAGAAGCAACCCCAGGGTTGAGTTCTCCTCCTCCCCTCTATGTCCCTGAGTATCTCCACAGCTTCCTCCCAGCATCTTTCCCAAGCAGGTAGCCCAGAGCTGGGCAGAACAATCCCAGCTCACTCAGAGGATGCTCATGGTTGTCAATAAGGATCTGTTTTGTAGCAGGAAAAGGGATGGGCCCGCAGGGACTCTTTTATCACTTTCCCAACAAAGGTACTGTTACTTGTATTCAGGTTTTTGCCTCCTTTCCCCACCCCCTCTTCCCCTCAGCAAGGACTTTTTTAGCTGCACATGAAACATTCATGGCTGCCTGTTTTATCATGATTAAGATACTTTCAATTTTGTAGACTAAACCAAACAATCGGATGAGAGTTTTCTATAATGAATGTCATTTGCCTACCTTAGGGAGCAACCTAAATGATATAAAACTGGAAAGGGGTGAGGTTGGGGGGGAAATTCATCAAAAAATATAAAGCCAGCTGGATGCACACAGGTCTAAATCCTCAGATTTGGAAACGGCATTAAGTCCAAACTCCTTTATTAAATCATGGATATTTTTTCAAATGAATAAGCGCTACAAAGCCACCGACATAATGTTTTTAAAGATAGCTTGCCCTTTTCCCTCAGGGGTAATAGTGTAATAGTTTGAAATAATAGTATTTATGGGAATATATCAGCTGTATTTTCCCAGATAGTGTAACTCAACAAAGCTGTGTAGTAGGACATGGAACTAGGCCAATTTATACCAGCTGTTAGGATCTGGTAGGACATGTTATAAGAAAGGAAACCATAGCATCACGCAACAGAGACATTCACAATAATTAAAGCCATTTCATTCAGAAGCCAAAAGACTTCAGTGTTTCAAAACAAAGCCTTGGAAACTGGTTGCTGAGGGGCTGAAGAAGGGAAGGACACTGGTACATGATGGTCTTGCCCTGCAATTTAGGATATATTTCCCCTTGCAAAACTGGTTTGTGACAAACATTCTCCCAAATAGCTTTCAGACCATACATGAAAATAATTTGGCTACATTTCAGACTACTGCTGCCCCGAGCATTTACAATTGAGAACAAGGACCTGTGTCTCTTCTGGCCTCTTTTTGCTTTGATCCTAATGCCACTAGGAAAGCATCAGAGCCAGACTGCAAGGACCAAGTACAGTTAAAGCTGTGACAAGCTCTCTTTTTATTCCTAAGCCATATTAAACAGAAAACAGAAAGTTCTCCCTCCCTCTCACAGAAAGTCATTTTCTGGAAAACAAAACAAAACAAAACGAAACAAAACAAAACAAAACAACTAATTAGAAAACTCCTGACCATCAGGAAGGAGATGACCCTCATTTGCTGGATGAAGCAAGGCTGTGTAGCAGGGGAGCCTGCAGTTTATCAGACCTTGTCCTGTGGAGGACTCTTGTCTCAGTAAGGCACGTTACCCTGGGCACATTGTTAATGCAGGGTGCAGCCACTTTGGAGAAGGTCCCTGAAACTTGGGAGTTATGGAAGAAGTGATGCAGCGGTGTAAATTCATGGCCCAACAGCCTAGCACAAGGGCTGGGGCCACATGGACTCTTAGCTCCAAGAAGCAAAATTCAGATGAAACCCATGATGGATTATCTAGAGGAGCCAGAAGAATTTTTTGGGCCTGGATGCCCCAAACACTGCAACCATTTCAGTTGAACGTCTTCAGAAACAGACAGCTGTGGGCAGAGAGAGACACAAAAGCACGAGCTACCACCATGGCTGAAGGTCTCCTGAGGGGTCATTTCCCACCTGATGGACTGGCAGATGCCTGGTAGGCTTGCTCATATCTTTTCATGCTCTGCAAATGTGATTTCTTCTGACATGAAAAAAATAGCTGAGGAACACAGGTCTGACACTGAAGGAGTGAAATGCAGTTGAAAATAATGTGCATGTAGAACATTTCTTCCATCTCCTGGCTATTTTTTCGCCAAGCAGAAAGACTTGGGACATCAGCAAGGGAGCAAGAGAAAGAGTCATTACAGAACAGCATTGAAATGCTCAAATTTTTCTTCAGTCAGAACATCCCTGCCTTTGTTGGCTTCCTTAGAAAAATGGAAATAAAAACAAAATTCCTTAAAAGAATGAAAGTAACCCCCTTTTTTTTTTTTTACAAACAGAGCGAAATTCTGGCTTTGGAGAGCAGTGGGATTTGTGCCACCAGCCTGTCTGCATGTCAGCCTAAAGACACCCCCCGCTCATCACACCACACTGCGGAGATGTTTTAGTCCACCAGCTTTTATGGGGTGACAATAACACAAACCACTGACAAACTACCAAAGGCCTTTTTTTGCCTGCTCATGGCTGGGGGAGGGAAGGAGGCGAGGAGGCCAAACCCATTACAGCAAAGCAGAGTAGCTAAGGAGAACAAAATATCTCTAATTTTTGCTCCATAACCCATGACGCTTCTCCCCGCCAGCTCCCCAGGGCTGCTCAGAGACATGACAGTTGCCTTCCAGAGAGTGGCTGGGTGGGGAAAAAAAATGGATTTTGAGGAAAACTGTGGTGTTATGGACATTCTTCCCCCTAGAAAAGGGGACCCCTTACCTCACTTATTTGGGTAGCAGTGATTTTCTGGCTGTTTACAGCACTTCGCTTGGGGAACAGAGTGCCCAAAAATGATCTGAAGGACCTCACAGGCTCTGCTGCCTTCTGCTGGAGCATACACCTTTCTCCAATGTCACCTCTCCTAACAGGGACATAGAGCTAGATGCCCATTGCAAAACAGAGCAAGAAAGGGAACTGAAGTTAAGCTAAAACTTCCCCTCCACATGCAAGAGCGAGGAGCAAAAAACCCATGAGAGGTATTAGTCACGTTTGTTATTAAGCTCCTTGGGGGCTTTGTATCACTGATATAAAAAAACAAAACACGAACGAAGATTCTCTTTCTCCAAGCACTCTGTTTTGTTGTCTTGACTATATCTTGGCTAATTCTGCTTAAAATGAAGAGGCTGGGGAGACAGGGAATAAAGGAACTTATCCATCCCACGCCAGCAAGTGCCTCAAGCCATGCTCTTCTCCCATCCTTGGGAGGAAAACCAGGGTTGCTTTCCAAGTAGGAGAGTTGAAACATAATAATCTAACATTTTGCTGTTGCACCAGTAACTTCAGCATTTATTTCATACTATTGTTAATGCTTGTCTATAATATTTAGATATATTTATGTAGAAAGTAGAGGAGATGAAAGCACGAGATATATCTTATAAATATTTCTGTATGTCCGCATACAAAAGAAAATATGTACAGCCACAGATAGTGGTTCTCTGCTGTGTCAGGGCATGGCCACGTGAAGGACTGACACGTCCCCATCCCTTTCTACTGGGAATAGCTGCTGCCCTGCCTGGCTGCATTCCCTCCAGCCAGGACTGGAGCTGCTCCACTCTGCAGTTTCTTGGGGCTGGGTCAATGGTTTTGCTGGAGGAGAAGAAGCAGTGGCATATTTCCCTTAGGACTTGATGGCCCAATGTGGTAGAACATCAGTGACTAAGGGGATCGCACACAAAGGGCAAGAGAAAAAGAGCAGGAGCACTTTTTTTTTTTTTTTTTTTTCTATTCCCACTGGATTTTGACTTCACTTTGGTTCCTTTATCCTAACAACTCCACTACTGCCTCATGGACTCCATAAAGTCCTTCTCAGGATACCTTACTCTCACTGCTGAAATCCCAGGGTTTTTTTTTTTTCATATGGCTGCATTTGAAACCCCATCCAGCCTGGACAAATCAAGGACAGCTTTTCCTGCAGCAGTAACTTCAAAGTCGCAGACCTGCATAAAAGAAAGGTTAAAATGAGTTGTTCATTTCAGGGGATTGACCTGAAATCTTTCCACCTTTATCATTTGGAGTGGATGCTTCCCTGCTAAAAATGAAGTCTTTGGCAACAAAGGCAGTTATTGCTGAAAAGTTGTAGCATTTTCCCTTCTGGGATGGTCCTAATGCAGACTCAGTACCTGTGCTAGAAGACATAGGCTGGTGTGAGCCTTAGTTATTTTCAAACAAGAGTTGTTTTTCTTCCCCAGGGAAAGTTTCTACTTTTGTTTCTCAAAGTACTAAGGCACTTGATGGCCAGACATCACTGGCAACCATAGGAAATATTTTGGAAGAATATACCATCCCAAATGAGGTTTTGTCTTCTCAGAGATCATTTTGTTGGTGGGAGGAAGCATTTGTGGGTTTGCTGGGTTTTGTTGAAGGTCTTGTTTTTACTGGTGTGATTGGTTGGGTTTTTTTTTTCCCTCCTACCAGCTTTGTCCAGGTCTGTGTCTTTACAAGATAAACGACGTCTAGTCAGGGAAATGTTTTCTCTTCTCTGCATAGTGCTGGGGTGCTGCTGGCATCTCAGCTCCCGGGTGGAGGGAGGGTTTTCATTTGCACACATATCTCTCGACAGTCCTCTCGCACTTTTTACAGGTCACATAGCAACACCAGTGGTACTTGCAGTGGCATCTTTCCACCACTTTGTCCATGTAGGGGTTGTAGCCTCTGCCGCAGCACATCAAGTCACAGCTGTCGCTCCCGTTGGAGGTCTTGTTGCATTGTCTGGAAGAAAGAAAAATGTGGTGAGCAAACACAAATTCTTTCTAGGCTCTCTAAACCACTGCCCTGCAGTGGTGCTGGGACCCAACAACTCTGCCAGGCACTGGGTGAAGCCAGCATGGTGGCATCTCAGCTGCAGCAAGCACATGGCAGGGGTGAGCACTCAGCCAAGCAGCCTTCTACACCTGCAAAGGAGGCGAGGAGAGCCCCGGGGCTGCACTCACATCTCCTGCTATGATGCCCAGCATTGCATTTACATCACCTGCTCTGACACACAAAATAATGTTAAACTCCTGTTCTGACTCTTAGTTTGGGCTCAGCAGCACTTGGGCTGCCTGTCAGCCAAGGCAGGCAGGACCTGGCTGAAGTACAAGCAGACATGCAAAACTATCTTGATACCTCCACCAAAACAAAAACTCAGAATCCCTAGCAATCTGTATTCCCAGGCAGGCTCCAAAGCTGTCTGAAAGGAGCTGGAAGAAGAGGATGCACTAAAGTAAAAACATGGGTTTGTCAAACAGTACCTAACCTGAAAAGGATGGAGGAGGAACTCTGCAGCCGCAGTGTATTTGCAGAGCCTCAGTGCCAATGATCCTGGGCTGGGAAAGGTCCTGAGCAAGCTGTTACAGCCGCTATCCAGCCCTACCTCTATCAGGGAAATCACAACCGATACCAGCAGGGCTGGACTCTGCACTTTCACCCTGCTGAGGGTCTCCCAGCACAGCATGAGCAGCTGGGGAGCCAGCCCTAGAACACCCCAAGTCCTGACCCAGGAGCAGGCAGCATGGCAGGAGCACAGTGTAGGGTGACAAGCTGCCAAATATCACATGGACTTTCCCTGCTTGTTTTGTTTCTGCTTTTAATTAAAGCCAGCCTCATCAGGATAAGTCAGCTATTGTATGGGGTTCCCTCACTTTGTCCACTTGCAAGTGGCTGGCTTGAGAGTTTCAGAAGGAACTCATGAATTGGGGAATCTTTTTCATTAGTCCATTGATCATGGATCAACAGTCATTCTCAAAAACCAGTAATCTCGTTTTCTTAAAGTACTCCAAGCTGGGCCACTGGATGTGAAAGTGCAACAGGGATTGACTTTTGGATGAGGTGAACGATGTCCTAGAGATGCCATTTCCCTATTGGCTGTAAAGTTAGCTGAGGGTGCAGGTGTTTATGTTTGGTCAGATGTTTGGCTGGATACTAGTGCCATAGGGTAATGGATCTCGTTATGTGCCCTACACCATGGGGCTTTGAGTCTGATGGAGATTTGAAACTACTGTAAGAAAAGCAGCTTGGAGAGTGGGGGAATTGCTGACATCTCTCCTAAATCTTCTTCTGCATGGCTATTTTGGACAGAAACACTCTAAGGCTGGTTTGGGGCAGGGAAAGGAGAGGGGAGCACGAGTCGGACTCTTGAGCTGAGCACTCCGTTAACAGATGAAAACAAATCCATGAGATTTATAGGAATTCCTCATGAGGTAATGCTTTAGGAGAAGTTATGGGATTAATGAGGTGTTGAGATTTTGTTCTTGCTCTTCCTTTATTTTTATTTTTTTCTGACTGAGGCAGGCCTCCTATTTGTTTTTTCTGCCGTGCATTCCTCTACAGGTTCAGTGTTTAAAGACCCCCCCTGCTCCCCCTCATTCGGGAGTGTGTGTAAATATTTACAAACCTTTGAAAGCCTCTACCAAAGCCGAAGTCTGCAACCACCCTGAGCGTGTTTGCCTAACGCTGAACCAAAGACGTTGTTATTGCCCTTGCAAGCTGGGGCCCCTCCACCAGGAAACCTCCAAATGACTCCTCATAAATGTATTAGTAAATGCATTAAATATTCGGAGCAAAGGTTCAAATATAGGTGTGTTGACATTAGAAGAGGGGAGGGTATTTGACAGCCTTACTCAGCTTTATCGGTACGTGGAAAGGTTACTGCCCAGAGGTTCACCTAGGGAGGATGGGGAGTCTGCAGAAGCATGGTGAGGGATATGCACTGCATCCGTGCCACCTTGTACTGAGAGCTCATTAAAAAGGCCAAGAGCAAGAATATGGGTCCACTCTGACTGCAGTTCACCATTAAGGATATTTACTCCCCAAATGTACAAAGCACCTGACAGATAAATTTGCCCCATTCAAATCAAGAACAAAACTCTTTGACCTGTTGTTTTTGGACATGGAATCTCCCTTTCCTTGCATGCACTACTGCTGTCTGCATAAAAAAGTGAATATGCTAAGAGATATAAATTTTCATAGCTGTCCTCATCTCCCCAGCCTGAAATAAAGAAAGGAAAAGCTCAGAATCTTATTTAAAAATCCTCAGGGTTCCCTCAGTTTTGGAGAAGGGAAGAGGAACATTCTGGATGGATGAGTTGAATAGCCAAAACAAAGCTTTTGACCCCATCTTGAACCTAAATAAGCTTCTAGAAAACTTTCCTGACAATGCCACTAACCAGAGATTTTGTTTTCTCTTTTAAAGCACAGGATGAATTATCTTTATTTTTCTTTAAACAAGCTGAAACAGAGCTAGTTTCTCAGCTGTATCTATATACACAAAAAGTAAGTAGGGGACGACAAATGAGCCCAGAGTTTACCCACAGAAGCTGCCCCCGAGCATCTGCTTTCAGAGCCCGTGGCTGCGATCTCACCAGCCTCCCCGCTGATGGGTTAAGTTCAATCTCATTTGTTTTGGGCCTGGTCCAGCACGAGTCCAGCAACTCAGAGAAATGCCCTCCTCCTGAGCCTCAGAGAGAAAATACGAAAGTAGGCGATTGCATCTTAACACAACACTGTGACCTCTAGAAGCACTTGGAAGACCGCTGAAAAACAATGCTTCGGCCATAGTCCCAGCCAAGGTCCTGGCTCAGGAACAGGCTTTCACATTGTCACATTGTGCTTTTTCCTTCTTTATGGAAGAAGGGAGGAGGTCAGCCCTGCTGACTGGACAAATCCCACTCAGTATGCCTGTCCAAAATCTCCCCTTTTCAGCCCTCATGTGCAGAAACACTGCCATACATCCAACAGCCTCATTACAGGGGTAGCTCCTTAGCAAAGATGGTGAAAGACATCCCAGAACTTCCAAGAGCCCTATCACAGATGGAGAGGCTAAACCATCTCACAGTTACCTCCTGGAGGATTTAAATATAAAAGCTGCAGGCAGATGACACACAATTTCATTGTGGATCCCATTTCACTTCTGTCCCATCAGGAGATAGAAGGGTAGATTTTTTTTTGGTTGCCCAAATGGCATCTGAGAGCCAAACTGAGGCTAACTCTGTACTGTGTCACCCACAATAACGACACACTATGACAAAGATGGACCAGATGTCCACAGAGATCTCACTTCATCAGTCCTATTGATAAACGGAAGCTGCTTATGAGTACGTAAGAAAAGTCGTTCTGAGTCACAGGAACTGCCTGCCTGGAGCAGTGCATCTCCCAGTGCCTGTGGGAGATGATGTTCAGGGAGTTAAGCACAAATTTGGCCACTTTTTGTAGTCTTTTTCCTCATACACCACCAGCACCTGGGCTGTTGCATTAGGGATGATAGAAGTTATGTTCCTGCCTAGACATCTCAGTATTCCCTTGTGGGCATCCTGGCCATGCATTCACCTCATCCTTTTATGGCTTCAGGGAAACCATCTGTCTCTGTGAACTCCAGCAGCCACAAGTCCTAGGAGACAGTACTTCTGTGTAAAGAAGTAATTTTTTTTTTATCTTTTAAATCAAATTCCTATGCATTTCTTCAGTGCCCCTTGCTTTGGTAATGTCAAGTCATACAGCAGTATATAAAAGAAAGAGAAAAATAACTCAAATCCCCAAGGAGGTGTGTAATGCAATGGACATTGCTAAAAATACACCAAAGTGCACAGCTTCATGTAAGATTTTGAGGGCAGAATCTTAATTACTTTTAAATTGCTCTCTCACCCACAAGGAACGACTGGAGACTGACACTGAACAACTGTACGAAAGAGAGTTATCAATAGTACATGTCAGCAAGGAGATGTCAAGGGAGATCCTGGAACCAGCCTGTATTTTCATTAATGAGGAGTAGAGAGTGAGCTTGAAAAATTGTGGATAACGGTGGGGCAAAAAGAGCTGAGAGCATCTTGTGAGAGTGGAGTAAAATGCAAAGTAAGCAACACACTGAGAAAGATCCAGAAAAACATGGGAATATTCCCAGAAGAGTCAGAGAAGCAGATCAGAAAATAGCTAAGGAAGAAGGAAACTATTTAGAGAAGTTTGTAAGAGGTGTCTTCCCATCCTTAAAGGATTATTGTAAAAAGGAGAGAGAAGAAATGTTCTTTATACACTGAGGAAAGAGGAAAATAAATTATTAGTTTGATCTGAGATTATGATTAATTTGAATTAAGCTTAAGAAAAACATAATTCTGAGGACAGTAAAACCCCTGGAACAGGTTGTTTAGGGAAACTGGTTTTTAAGACCAGGGTAGACAAACATCTTTGATAACAACCTAGGTGGTCTCAGTTCAGTCTTGCTCCTTATAAAGATCTGGCTCCATGGAAAGTCATTCCCAGCCTCTGTTATTCCCTAAATCCAATGCAGGTTTGATGCAGAGGGACTAAATACATTTAGGAGACCTGGCTGCTATTTTTTATCTGCAGAATTCACTATCCCCTGCAATATTACAGTGTGAAGTTAATCTTTCCACCAACAAATTTGTTATTCACGAATCTGCTCAGGAAATTTTATGGTCAAATCCATGTCTCTCAAAGAGGGAAGGATTCAAACTACCTCAGGGATTAACTGAGAAAAAGCCAAAAAAAATCACATCTGGCCTAACTATTGACATGGGCACCAGCTACGAGCACTTTAGAAGTAGAAATAGCATTGCAGGTGGCAGGGACAGAAAGCTTTTTCTGACTTGCCTCCAGTTTAAACTTCTGGGATAGTCACATAAGAATTATTTGCTATTTGTTATGCATTGTTTGTTGGATTCCATTAAAAAAGGTAGCACACTTGATAAGACTTCTAGAAATTACTAAGTTGTTGTATACATTATAATCTACTCAATGTCAAAGTTCATCATACTGCTTCTGGTGCCTTCACACAGCGAAAGAAACTAAAAGAGGCTGGAATGAAAAACCAAACACCAATAACTGTTGTCTACCCAGAACTACCACTCTTCCCCATCTAAATATGAGTGCTCCTTCTAAGAAATTTCCCTGCCCACACAATCACATATTTTTAAGGTGTCAGGAGCAAGTGGTATCAAGGGCTGCCACTGCAAACTGAAAAGTATTGCATCCTTTCTTTGCAGCATTTGATCAGCCCTGCTGTTGGGACCACCAAGACGCCAAAGAGGTAACCAGCAGTCACAAAGTGTCTGCAGTCACCACTGAGCCACAGATGCCTGCTCAGCTAGCTTTAAATAGCTAGAAATCTAAGAAAACATACCAGGCTAAGACACCCTGGGAGACACTTTAGACTAAACTAAAAGAGGGGGATTTAGACTAGATAGAATGAAGAAATGTTTTACACTGAGGGTGGTGAGCCCCTGGCCCAGGTTGCCCCGAGAGGTGGTCACTGCCCCATCCCTGGAACCATTCCAGGGGAGGTTGGCCGGGGCTCTGAGCAACCTGCTCTAGTTGCAGATGTCCCTGCTCCCTGCAGGGGGGTTGGACTAGATGACCTTAAAGATCCCTTCCAACCCAAAGCATCCTATGATTCTATGAATATGTGAGCAAGTGACACCCACCAAAGAACATCCATGTTCATTACCAAAGTGAGTCAGCTAAGGAGTGGTAGCTGATCAGCCCAGCTTATCTGCAGCACAACGTTGCATCCCAATTTCTGCAACATAAGGAAGCTCCTTCCTATCTTCAGTAGGGTGGGAGGAGCATTTGCTTGGCTCCAGGGCTGCTCTGGGAGAGATCAGTAATAAACAGCTCAGTTATCTCTGCAAGGCTTGAGGGGCTGGAGGCTTTTGCATGCATGGCAGAATTTCCCTTTCCTTGGATCCCATAAGGGACCTTAAACAGCCTTTGAAATATGATCCATTGGACCCTACTGATAAAGAAGGTTAATACTTTTGCTTCTTTTCTCACAGAAGAGATCTCAGTTTCATAATCTGCTATTATTTATCGTCTACTCAAAGCTGACAACAAATTTTTCAGGCAGGAGAAACTGAACTGCTTTATTAAAAAATTAGCTATAGGGTGTTTTTGTCCAAGAAACCTCTGAAATGGGAACGTATACATTCTTTCCCAGTGGTTAATTTGCTGTTTTGGAAGTTGTATAATTCACTTGCTGCTCCACAGATCAGCTTCTTTAGCTTTTTCTCCAGACCATTTTTTTATTGGCTATGAAAGTGTGATGGTGGCATATAGCACATGGAGTTTGGATGGAGTTGAGGAGGGCTGTGATTGAAGGAGCTTTGGACACCGGTTGCTCCTTAATCAGATCAAGAATTAAGTCAGCTCCTTAATCAGATTCTGAGCACTTCAAAGAGGCTTCACATCTCAGGTCTGGGTTCAGCTCCCTGACTTTGAAATCTGGATACACCCCAAGCACTTGGAGGTGTGCAGATTTCCAAACCATTTCTAATTTCAACAAACTATGAAAGGCCAAGGTGTCTTAGAAAACATTTCAGGCTTTTCCTAAAGAAAGCTTTGAAACCCTTTCAGAAAAGAGCTCTGAAAGCTTTTGAGTAGCTGGGTACATGTTTTCCGAGTGGATTTTCACCCAGTTCCACTACAAGGTAGCTCAACTCCCTTTCCTGCCTGAAAAACATGCAGTAAATCCACATAATGTGCAGGATAATTAGAGAGATGGAAGTCACCGATTAGATTATCCCTTCCACCCACCTGCTGGTGCAAGATTGTTTCCTACAGTACACAGTGAAATCAAATACATCCAAGGTGTTGTAACCTAGCCATCAACCTCTCTCCTGCTTCTGCTTCCAGCATGCTCTGAGCAAGCACCAGAGCTGGAGGAGAGGGAGGGAGGAAAGGACTTTCTCTTCATATGATGCAAGTAATTTTGCATTACTCATTCTTTGTAACAAAAATCTAACAATCTGAATTTTTTAATCCAGTAACAGGAAAAGGGGTTGATAGTGGGGTCCCCTCCATTTTGCACCCCTTTTGATGCAGAAAGCAGGGCTGGAAAGGTGTTGAAGCTGCCCAGATCAAGATCTTCCAGAGCATAGTGAAAGGGGTCTATGTTGTAAAATCTCAGCAGCTGATCCCTGCACCAATGTTCATGGCCAAGAAAAGGCCAAAGGGGGAATAGGAAGGTGGTGGAAGCAGAGAGAAATGAACTGAGGAACCACCAATAAAAATCTCTTTATGACTGCAAACATCCTAAAAGACCTTAAAATTAGCCTAGTAGGAAAGAGGGAGATTTTCCCTCAGAAAATTCGGATGTGTACAAGGATGAAATATTAAGACTTATCTGGGATTTGAGTTATAAAATAAAAACCTGTTTGGACTATTTCCATGCAAGTCCTTTTACATCTTTGTGGAGTAAGTACAAAGAACATTTTTCCCTGCCCTCTCTAACAACATCCCTTTCATATTCCTTCCCCTCATCTCTGTCATAAGATGCTATCTCTGCAGCCCCGTGGCTGGCTGGAACAGAGCCACTGTGTTTAAAATACATTTAGATGTCCTCTTCAGGAGCAAAAAATTACAAAAAGGGAAAAAGGCATCCATGGGAGGAGGAGGTGAGGGAAGCTCCCCTCCTTTTCCTTGCTCCCCCTGGGAAGAAAGGACCCATCTTCAGACACATTGCCTGCATTTTACTCTTATTTCCTCTGCTAATTTAATGCAGAAAAGGGTCTGCTATGGCTTGTGTTAAACATGCCAATGTTGAGACACCAGGCATCTCCTCAAGAGCTGGCAGATGGATTGCGATGAAAATAAGCCTAACTACATGTGACCTTAAAACTTGGCCTGGAAGATGCCTGCAGCTCAACACGAGCCTATCTCACCCTCCTCCCCTCCCACAGCCATCACCATCTTGCACATCCAAGAATCAGGACTATTTCTTGACAGGTTCCTTTTGAAAGTCATCCCCTCCTGCCTCAATATCTCGGTCCTCTAAATCCTCACTCAATCTCACTTCCTGTGGACCCTTCCCTGGCAGGCTCACAATCGCTGCTGTCGCCCAGCTTGGGATAAACAGACGCCTGCAACATACATTTTCCTATGTTCAGAAAAAGAAAAAAAAAATCATTCAAGTCCTTGACATATTTTTAATCCCTAGCTAGGATAAAAAGGCAAAACCTGCCGTAAAAAAAAATTAGATGAAGAATTTTATGCCTCCCTCCCTCTGAAAGTATTTCAGCTCATGGAAAATGTTTTACTTGGCAAATCTGTAATGGATTCAGTTCGGTTTTGACACAACCTGTTGATTTCACACAATTCCTATAAACTAATTTCCAAATAATTTCTACCATTTTCTCCATTGCAAAACAAAGTGGTAAAACAAAGAGGTCTTTACAAGACACAAATTTGTCAAAATCCATACAAACCCACAAAAACATCACCACTACTCAAATGATTTTTCCCTCAGAAAACAGTTTCAACACATGCTTTTTCTGTATAATCCTCAGTAACTCATTAACATCTTCATTTGCTAACTACTGCTCCACCACTGGACTGGTGATGAACATCAGCCTAGTGTTCCCACCACAGAGCTCCCAGATAAGTACTGCTGTAGAACAGTCCAGCTGTTGGTTTTGGAGCATAGAAAAGTCTTAACTGCCACTAAACATCAGAGAATGAAAAGGACACACTTGTCTCACTCAACTATTGTCATCTCCTTATCAGTTCCACCAGTTAAATACTGATATGTTGTCTACAGAGTTGTAGTTCCAGATTAAATAGCTGTTGCCAAAGAATAGCTTCTCAAATCCCTTCACCAAATGAGTCATATGAAACAAAGGTATCCAGAGAGTATCTCTTCTGCATTTGGGTCACTTACTTCATCTCTGTTACATCAAAATCTTCTCTCCATTGAACCAAAGTGGTCCAAATACCACTACAGCCAACGAGAGTTAAACTGAAGACACTCCACAAAAGGGCAGAGGCATGCGCCCTGCAACTTGACCACCTAAGTCTCCACCACAGAGTAACACAAAAGGCAAAGAATTATACAAACTACCTGAAGAAAGACAAGCCAGCAGATATCAACTAATGAGACAGCTTGAAATCCAGCCATTGCAGCCACCAAACAAAAAAATCTGGAAATTCTGCGTAATTCTGCGAAATTCTGGAAATATGCAATTATTTGCCTGTCAAAGGGTCTGTTGCCTATCTACAGATGCTCGGACTGCTGAAACAGGGAATTGGTTTGTCTTGGGGGGAATTAAATATCTAACAGGAAGAGACAGGCAAGTCTGCTGCCTGTGAAAGGGGACAGCATGGTCCCCAGTGGAGGCTGGGTATGATGACCTTAAATCAGTGAAATTAATGAGATAAAGAAACTCCTCTGCAGAAACACAAGCAACACAAGCACACCTGAATTTTTCAAATACAGTGGGGGAAAACTTCTGAATGTCCACATTTGTAGTTTAAAGGGCTTTTTTAAGGGCTGCCTGGAAGTGCTCGTCCTGACTGGGTGAACTTTTGCCTGCTTAGAGGAGTTTTACAGTAGAGTAACAACCCATCACATCAGCAGTGGCTGCAAGAAATGACTTGGAGAGATTCATTACAGTATAAAGCAGCTGCTTGATCATTATAGGTTCCTTAAAATGTATCTTACACTTGCTTGTATAACATAGAATGTGTCTGCAGCCATATTTTGGTCACAGTCACCACTAAGAGGCTTAGACATCTGTAGACCACACTATATGTTAGAGAAGTCCTCTACCTGCATGCACGTGCTACCTCCCCAGTTATTTGTCTCTTATTCTTACATGTTTCCCTCTTCCTCTTCCCTCTTTGGAGCTCAGGGTGCAGTCAGTGCCCACTGCAGAAACCCTCACCTGTCCTGGGTCCCGTGTGACCCCACTTTTTCATTCTTCATGCAGAAATCCGGGGAGCTCTGCAGGTAAATCAGCTCTGTCTCTTTAACCGGCCTGATATCAATATCCTTTGGCACGAGGTATTTGCGTGTGCCCATGGGTCGGTGAACGACCTTGGTGGCTGATAAATACTTGTTTTTGAGGTCCAATGCAATGTCTCGCAGCTCTTGAAGGCCTTTCCAACAGGTCTTGATAGAGCATGACCCAGAAACTCCATGGCATTTACATTTCATTTCAAGAGAGGCTTTCAAGACCTGCAAAAAGGAATGCAGGAGTTAGGAAATGCCCTTCTCTTACCTCCAAACATCCCACAAGCTTGTTAATGAAGACACTTTCTTAGCAGGGACTGCTCTAGAAAAGGACTGCTGCTCTGATCTCTGCACAGTTGCTGTAGTGCAGAGTGCTGTGCAAAGGGAATGATATCCCACAGCTCCTTGGCCATCACTACCAGCTCAGGACTACTTTCACCAAGGCACCTTTGCAGCCAGTAGACAGAAGAATGTTTTGGATTTTGATCAGATATCTACACCAGGCTACATTTTCACTGTCTAAATTCCTCAGGAGCTGAAAATCAAAGCAAACCATAAACAGATAATTAACATCCATTTCTGCCTCCAGCAGCTTTGGGCTTTGGGTAACAAAGATGTCAAGGCTCTGATGAATTCAGGGCACTATCACCCTGCCTTTTTGGTGGCCATGTGGCCATAGGAGCCTTTCACTTTGGTTCTGCACTGGTGTCATTTCTATGGGACATGGCAGGATGCTGCCAGGAAGGGACAAATGCACCAACCGTGGCAAAGCTATGTCCCAAACAAAACTTTGCCCCTTGCAATTAAACCAAAAACTCAATAAATTACAAAAATAAAACACAGATAGAGTGGGAATGGTAGAGAAATACACCCAGGGGAGGGAAGTTTGGTACGGTTGTGCTCTGCAAAGGTGAGTTCAGCCTGTAGCTACACAGTAAGCTGCCAACGAGCTCAACATGCTCCAAGTTTTATCTGCTCCAGCGCCCAAGCACAGGCAGCTCTGGAGGGACCAAGCTGTGTGGTAGAACCAGCCCAGGGAGCTGCTGTAGCCCCAGAGAGGGGTGCAGGGGGTCACCTTTACAGCCCCCCACTCATTTCTCTAGCTGCATGGAGGGCTTTGCACCTCGGTGCACACCAATCGCTGCACATGGTAAGAATTATCCCTCCGCTGGATGCAAGATCTGAAAAGCAGCTTCTTTCAGATAAGGGAATAATCAGTAGCAAAGCAGTTTGTAATGGAAAACTCATCCCTCCTGGCTGCAGGGATGGCTGGGAGGCAGCTGCTGCTGGATGATGATCCTCCATGCTTACACAGCGCTTACACACTCGCCTGCACAACACCCTTGGCAGAGCAGGATGGGACCCATCCCCACCACGCCTCCTGAGGTAAGCAAGCCAGAGCCATCCTTGGCAGTGGGAAGAGTGGCCATGAGACATCCCACCCATGGTTACAAAGGACTGAGGATAGCGTTCGGGACCTCCTGAGTCCCAGCGTGAGTTATGTAACCACAGTCTTCAGCAGGCCAAAGGAGTTCAGAGCAATTTGGGAGAAACCTGCTCCTTTCGCTAGCTGAGAGAGCCACTGAACCTCACAGAGCAACCGACCACTGCAGATGATTGTACAATTACAATAACTCTCGTGGATTTGTTACCTGTCTCCCTACTTCACTGTTGTGCAGATGCATCAGTTTATTGGCTTGTGATCCTGATTTTTTCATCTTCATGGGAGCATCTGAAAATTTGGACCCCATGATAAGACCATAGTTGAGGTTGTCTGCACATCCTCCCCATCGATACCCAGGTCCAGGTGTCTCACCTGGGATGGGACCACAGGAACAGCCAGGGAGGTCCCCGGTGGTGCAGGCTCTGGCAATGGTGTGGCTGATGGCAGCAGCAGAAAGGGCATACACAAATGCTGACTCCCTTGTGCCTGAAAAAGACAAGAACTCTAGCTCAGCCTCCTGGGACAGCTAAATGTTCCCCAAGAACAGACCCACACAATCTACGCCCCTCAAAGCAGCAAACACACCAGCTCCCTGCAGCTGAGACTTCCCATGGCATCACCATCTTGGTGCACATTTCCTAACTGAGCTCTTCAACACGAGGCAACAGCTCAATAGGGCAAGGAGGCACATGGACTTAGGCAATTTGTCCATCGTGGCATGATCTGCTCTTGGAGCATATGCAGAAGCCTCTGCCCCGTGGACTCTCCTGCCTCCTTTTCCCCCTGTTCCAGATGCTGCCTGCCAGCAGGTCATGGACCTGGCATGCATGGAGCTGAGGGAGGTGGTGGAAGGCCATAGAGTTGCAGCACAACAGTGCAAGGATGCTCTGACCCATGAAAGCTGACTGGGCTGCCTCAGATGTAGCTTGTGCTTCTTGAGAAGTCTGCATGCCCTGAGCAGCAGCTCCGCGGCTGTGAGCAAGTGCACCAGGACTCCTAATGGGATGAGCAGAGCAGATTGGTAGGATGCTTTGTAAGAGCTGTGGGAGACCAGATCTTGGACTCAAGAACTCTTGGGCACGACTGGCACCACAATGATGAGCGTGGTCTCAGAGAACAGGACAATTAGGCTATTGTAGCCCCTCCACGCAGTCCCTCCCCTGGTAACAAGACCCTCCCCAGCCCCACACGCATACACACACTGCCTGACTCTACTCACTCATCTCCCTGGCTGAGCCAGCAGTGCTGTTTACCTCTCTCTAAGTCCAGCAGGTAATTAGGAGCCAGCTCAATGGAAGAGCAGTTCCACCGCATGTCTGAGAAGGTTTTACGGCAGGTCTTTATCACTTCCCGTGCTGCCTGGATGATGGTTTGCATGAGCTCCAGGTTGCTGCGGCAGAGCTGCACCTGGGAAACCACCAAGCCTTCGAGCTGCTTGCAGTGCTGGGTTTGATTCAAGGCCAAAGCTGAAGGAGTCTTGGACAGAGCTCTGAGGAAACAAGCATATGCAAAAAGCCATTAAAACCCACAAAAAAAAGGTGATCGCCAGGTCAATATTAATTTCTCCACTACCTCCGGTGCAGTGAATGCTTTGGCCTGTGTTCATCTGATTTAATTTTAGCTACCTGTGAATAGGTGCTTGGTTTAAGCTGGTGAGAAAGAGAGGTGACTATGAAGAGTGATTTATCTCATCTGAAGTAGGTGTTTAAGGTAGGTGGGAAGAAACACCCTCTAGAAGTGGGCATTTCTCTCCACTATCTAGGGAAGCCTGGACAAAGCTCCTGGGACATATGTCAAGCTGACTGAATGTGTAAATTTTTATGGGAAGGTTTTTTGCTAAAGAATGAAGAGGACAGACCTCCCAACAGAATGAAAAATGATCCATCGGCTCCACAATAACAAAAAGCTGGATCTTTCCAAGACTGTGGTATTCAGGGAAAAAAAAATACATTGAAGTTGGTGTTATCAGTGTTTTAGATTCAGCATCTGTCTCACACACTCTCTGCGAATCATGCTAAATGTCATGTAATTAATTATAGAGAAAATCCCCTGCAAGGCCCAGGGAAAAGCCACTGAGTTCACCAAACAGATGCTTTCTCTTAGAATTAACACCAAAGGCCTCCACCAGTTCCGTTACTGTTGCTTGTAAATAACTGTTTCTCTAGTCTCAAAATCCATAGTGCAGAAACACCATCAGACTATGTGCAGAGATAGCACCACTGTCCAAACTGTGAAGGACCCACCAGCACCTGCACATATGTTACCATGGAAGAAAACACCACTACCCCAAAGACTCCGTTGGTTCTCGTGTGTGATTCCCAACATTTCCTGGTAAAAGAGAATAAAAATGCAAATGCTGCCATGCATTGTACAGGTCTGTGCTCTTCTTCCCCAAGCCTGGTGTGTAACTCTCTTTGTGTCTTTATGACCTGCTTAGGGTAGTCATAAATGTTATTCGTTCCCATAAAACAACTTTCTCGCTGGCTGCATCAGTAACTGGCATCTGCTCCTGGCAACACAACTGCCTTAACACATATTTCCTTCTCTCCTTTTTAAATGTATTGCCTTCCAGTTTCATCCTAAGCCATCTCGGTTAGTTTGGCTTATTAGCAGACACATTTCTGGGTGCATTTCCCTTTATTACTGTAACATCTACGTCCTTCAGAAGTTAAATGAGACGGAAATGGACCTAAAATTGAGCCCTAACCGAGATTGGGGTCATTAGCTCTGATCTTGGGTTTTCAGGAAAACGCATCTATGTTCCACCAGCTCCCTCAAGGTTGGCTTGAACCAGCTGCTGTGTATGTTGGAGCTCTCTCTGGGCTTTGCACAACTGCTAACCCCTCTTCCAGCAGGGAAAAGCTACAATCCTTTCTAGGGCTGAGTAGGTCTGCACTGACAAATTCCCAGGCGGCTGGAGTTTGGTGTTTCTGGCACTAAATAACCAGCGGCAAACTTGGAAGGGAAACCACCACTCTGCTAGCTAGGTAAATATCTACATCATACATATATTTAAAGAGGTCCATTAAATATACAGTGAATAAAAGTTTTGGCCAGGGAATTTCAAGTGGAAAGGAAAAAGTGGAGCACTTAATTTTCAGAAATTTTGCCCTGTAGTTCATCTTGGTCCCTTGCACACTGTTACTCGTGCAATGCTCCCTGTCTGGAGAGGGGCAGCTCCAGAAGGCAACTTATCCTGCCTTAGACTTGTACCTGTGCTGGTAGACAAAAAAGCCTGCTGGTTCAATGTGGTTGATTCTGGATGCTCAGGTATCTCAAATATATCCTTTCCTTGAAGGTAGAGGAATGAGTCTTTGGACAGTATGGATGACACCTGTCTGCAAACCTCTACAGTGTGGACCTCATGGTAGTCCTCCAGGGTCCTACTTCATACCATGGAAAGAAAAAAGCCACGTCTAGGGAGTAATTAGCCTGATGTGCTTTTGAGATATACTCTAGGAGAACATCACACCCTAGAAGTGCTCATTTTCTGCACTGCCTATAGGGGCAACCCAGGCAGCAAGCTCTGGACGCAGACATCTGGACTGTGTGAGCACAGAGCTGAGTGAGATGAGTCCAGCCCCTAGCACTTGGCACCAGAAACCTGTGAGAACTTATCCCAGAAAGCCTATCAGCAACTCTCAGGAATGAGCTGAAATGAAAATCAGGCAAAAGGCCAAAGCAGCTCGTCACTAATAGAGTAAAAATGATAAATACTCAAGCACAGTATGTCCCAGCAGCAAAACAAGCAGGCAGGGTGAGGCAGACGAAAGGAGAGAGCTTCACTGCCTGAGGTTCAGGCAAATGAAGAATGCTCTATGTCTCTGAGGGATGCTGTACTATGGGGCACCAGCTCAGCTGTCTGATCAGAGGTGCTGAGTGACACTTTAGAGGCCTTGAGATGTTTCACCTGTGCCTCCAGCCAGGAGGAAACATATCTCCTTTGTCCTGCACCATATTTTCTTATCCTGTATAGAGGTCTTCGGCACCTTTAGAGGACCTGGAAGGCTGCACTGAGGTACCTGCATCTCACCATTGCAGACAAGTCAGGAACAGAAGAAATAACCACTTATGCGCTGGGATGAGAGCTGAGTTCAGACTGAAACTCATCTCCATTGTGGAAAAAAGGGATGTGATACAATGAGATTATGTTATTACAGACGGCCTGAAATGATCACCATTGGAGAAGCAGATTTATAACGCAACAAGAAAGAAATTTTCTTCATGGAAGAGGGAAAAATATCTGCCAGACAGTCAACAGAGGAAGGATCATGGCCATATGAGGGAGAACTCAGTAAATGGCAGCAATGGCTGTTTCTCATCCAATGAGCTGAGCTCCAGGGAGCTCGCCAAGAATAAAAATGCAAGACGCAGGAAGGTGTTTTCTGAACATCTCCCAGGCCTGAACTTCATGCCTTTGCTTGTGAGAACCTATAATTGGAAACATCTCCAAGTGTTGGGAGGAAAAAGTAAAGGGTAATGGAGATGGAAAAGAAAACTCACAGTTACTGGAGTCACTCGCTGAGACCGAAAAGTGCCTTTATAAATCACAGATGAGGAATGTGAGAGGACTATTAGGTCATCTAGTCCATGCCCGGACAGCTCAGGTTTGCTCAGTTTCTATCCTACTTTCAGGAATGTCTTCTCCACCCCTTGTGGCTTTATACCTTCCCCATGGCAAGGCATCAACCCTTCATGCTCCCCAGCTTCTGGCAGCACCAGGGAGGGTTGCCCACCACCTGTAAAGGACATTTTTTTGGGAACAAAGTCCATTCATATGCCAGTGGAAAGGAAATCACCTTCCCCCAGGAGAATCTTGTCCATGGTGGGATTTGGTGGTGGGTCTCTTTCCCATCTCCACCCAGTCTCTGTTGACCACAAGCCCTGGGAAGGAACCTGGAACCAAAGGGGTGCAGCCAGCTTGAATAAAGCATCCCTCAAGGACATAGTTAGCAGAACAGCCTTTAGTCCTCAGTCTGGGTAAAAATCCCTGAAGAACATCTTTCTTTGAACTCACACCCTTCATCTGAGGAGCAACATATGGGGATTTTACCTGATGCCACCCTATAAATGCTGCTTTTCAATGTTTCCTGCTGCTAATGTTGTGCTCTCCTCCCTTGACTCTCTGGCTCCATCCTTCACTCTCCAGAAAGCTGAGGACAACCGAGCGGTGGTTATTTAGGTGTTTTGGGTTTGGTTTTTTTTTTGTTTTTTTTTAATGTACATATTTGACCCATCCCTTTAAATAAACAGCCCTCAAACCAAATGCCTCCTGCTTTATATATAGCATAGCAGGGCTTTGAATTGAAGTTATGGGCACTGACAGAAAACCATAAACATAATTACAGAGGAAATATGATGCATGGATGGGTCATGACTTTCGTTTACTCTTTTAATTATCTCAGGCAGTTAATAAATTCGTTTGAAAACATGAATGCTCTACAGTTTTAGGTCCTTTGAGAGGTATGGGCTCACTCCTGCAGATCTGGGCTCCATGAGAAGATTATTCATAGGAGCAGCAGCTTGAGAGAAGTATCTTCAGATCTGAGCAGGCATGCTGAGTGAAAGACACACATTATTTGGTTTACAAGCACCACTCTAAGTGGGACACTGCTCCTGGTCAATCCAAAGGGAGAAAAACTCCTTGGACTGAGCAGTGAAGCCTTGGTGCCCTTTAAAATACCCGCAAAGGGTGGAAGGATCTCCTCTCTTTCCAATGTGGGCTCTTTCTGAAGGGCATCTCCCCATCCTCCTTTGTGTGATGTGACCGAAGGAGGTCTCACAGAGTTGGGAACTGTTGGTGAAATTATGAATTTTTGCTCCAAATTGCCTGCTTTGTTTTCTGTGAAGGCACTCTCTTTCTTTATGCCTGTTCTTAAACCTGTTCTTAATCTGGAGGGATTTGGGTGAAACAAGAAGATTTAGACAAAATTACACGGCCATGGAGAGTGAAGTGTGTGGTAAACTTTAATAAAGAGAAGCAGAGATTTGGCATTTTTTGCATTCAATCCCACTGAAGGCTTTTAACCTGCAGGATTCTTATTTTCTCAGATTTTCATCTGGAAAAAAGACTTGCAGGATTGTTACAATAACCTTGTCTAAGCTCCTGCTAGTCAGAGGAAGCCCATGTCTCTGTCACGCAGCCCTGCAACAGCCCTGGTTTGGGAACCATAAGTGCTAGGAAAGCCACCACCTCCTTGGTAGAAGAGGAAAGAAAGAGAAAGAAAGAAAGAAAGAAAGAAAGAAAGAAAGAAAGAAAGAAAGAAAGAAAGAAAGAAAGAAAGAAAGAAAGAAAGAAAGAAAGAAAGAAAGAAAGAAAGAAAGAAAGAAAGAAAGAAAGAAAGAAAGAAAGAAAGAAAGAAAGAAAGAAAGAAAGAAAGAAAGAAAGAAAGAAAGAAAGAAAGAAAGAAAGAAAGAAAGAAAGAAAGAAAGAAAGAAAGAAAGAAAGAAAGAAAGAAAGAAAGAAAGAAAGAAAGAAAGAAAGAAAGAAAGAAAGAAAGAAAGAAAGAAAGAAAGAAAGAAAGAAAGAAAGAAAGAAAGAAAGAAAGAAAGAAAGAAAGAAAGAAAGAAAGAAAGAAAGAAAGAAAGAAAGAAAGAAAGAAAGAAAGAAAGAAAGGAAAGGAAAGAAAAGAAAAGAAAAGAAAAGAAAAGAAAAGAAAAGAAAAGGAAGAGGAGAGTGTGTGGGGGGAGAAAATCAACCCTGAAGGAAAAGCTTAAAATAAGAGCTGCTTTCAGATATGGTGCCAAATCCAGCACTGGCAGTAGTGGGCACAAGGCCATTGACTTCCAGCCCAAGCTTGACTGAAGTCGATGCCAGCGGCCAGTTGGCTCCCCAAGCACCGAGGAAGGCCATGGAGCTTTGTCAAGTTTTCCCGAGCTGCCTACAGAGCGAAGAGCAAACTTCAAAGCCCTTGTCCCCCCCTGCTCCTCGCCCCCAGCCCACAACCCTCCCGCTGTCCCCATCCTGCAGTCCTTTCACAGCAGCTCATCTAGCAGCCCCCTTGCCAGGCAGACGGTCTCCTCAGAGGCGCCCGTGCCCCAGTGTCCCAGCTCCCCCCCACCCCAGGTTGAAGGAGAGAAGCAGGCGCTGCTGGGAAGCACAAGATCTTTCCATTTTCAGCCCTGCCTTCTGCTGGCTGCAGAAAGGCTGCAGTGCTGCTCGAGGATGGTGAGCTGGGGGACATCTTGGGTTCGCCAAGACCCAGGGCTAAGCCAGAGTTTGCTCCTAAAGGGCTGTGATTTAATCATGGGCATCGTGCAGCAAAGCTGACTTTGTAGTTGGCAACAGCGTTCAGCTAGAGATGGCTCCAGAGGGCATGGGGGCATCACCACCACAACAAGGACAGGCAGTGACCGAGCTCCACCTAAAAGTGATGGGATTCCTAACGCCACCACTTGTCACAAGCTGATCCTGCAAGCCACGCAAAAATAGCTTGCTGCATTTGTGTTCTTTGCAACCACTCTTGCATTGAAGGTGACAGTCAATACAGAGAGACAGTCCAACCTACGTCTTGGCTCTTGGGCAGAGGAGATACCAACCCCCAGGGAGGCAGAAGTGCCTAAAAAGCCAGTTCATGCCTGGACATCCCAATATCTGCCGACCTCTGTGGTGTGCACATCTGGCCACTGCTCCCTCTAGTGCTCATTTATTTTTCAGCTCTACCCAAACAAGTTGTTCCAGCAACCTGCTTGTCCAAATCCAACCCCCCCTAAGAAAGCTAAAGGGCATGGCAAAGGAGGTGGGCAAGAGCAATGGAGTTACTGTGTGCTCTGGCCTTAAGATGTGTCCCATTGAAACCGATGGCTTACTTCCCTCCCCAGATGCTGTGATGCAAAACGAGCGCCGAGGACCACAAAAAGAAGCAACCCCCAACCTGCTCTAAGGATGGGAAAGAGATTTCAAAAAGCAACGTGCAAAAATAAAGACTCAGGGTCTCACAGGTACGGAATGGGAAGGCTGTGTCTCCATGAAAGCTCTGACCCTCAAAAGATCTGTCCATACCCTGACTTTACACCCAAGCACCTCCTTGGAGCTTGAGTGGGGGAGGCCAAAATGGGAAGTTTCTCCTGCAGCAAGACCAAGTTTATGAGATGCTTGACTGTCCAGGTACCATGGGGGATGCTCAGTGCGTCACACCTCTAGGGCAGGGGAGGGGACAGTGCCAACTTACAACAGCTGGGGATCTGGACTGTAGAGCTCGTAAAAATAAGCCAAATAAAAAAAAAACCCAAATAGTTCCTTTTTACCTTCTCCCCACTTTGACTTATTTACAGGTATATTTGTGTTACAGGGAAGTCCTAAACGGCTGAAGTGTGTTTTTCTTCTCCCTCTCCTCCTGCCATTACATCACACGCTGAATCAAAATTGAATTTCCTATCACCTTTCATATCAGTTGCTCCCTCTTCCCCAGGCTGGTAAAACCCACCTCCTTATCTTCCCCCTCCCCTCCCAAATCCTCTTTGAAGCTCACTTCTGGCATTGTGCCTACAACAACGGCCCAGCGGGCAGACTGCTGAGACGAGCCCATGACCAAAAACATCTTGTAGCGCTTTCCTCCCTCTTCATTCCAACCTTCCCCCCGCCCCATCCACGAGCATGGGAGGGAAGGGGCAGGGTTTGGTTGTACAGCACCCAGCGTGTCAGTCTGGGGCTGGGATTGCAGCTTTGAGATATTACTTGGTATTCAGTATCAACGATCTCTCTTCACCAAGAATTTACCCGTGTGATCTCCAAGGACGGTGCCCAAGCCCCAGGGATGGTCCCTGAGCCCCAAGGATGCCAGCATCACTGCTGAACAGAAAAAAAAAAAATTGATGGGGAGGGTGGAAAACCTGGCCCATGTTTTCACAGAAAAAAAAAAAAAAAAAGAAACAGCAAATGAAAAAAACAACAACAACAACAAAAAAAAAAACAAACCCAAACCAGAATTTTGTGAAATCCCAGCTGGCAGCACCCCAGCTGGGAAGTGCCCTGGGACAGGGAGTGTGGATCTCTGTCAGGTTTTAAACAGGTGTGAGAGGAGCCCTGGCAGCACATCTGGATGCAGCTCATGCTTCAAATGCCACTTTAATCCCAGCTTTCATCTTCCCCACTTGCTTTTCGATAGAAGGGATATGTCTGCTGGCAAGGGGAGGAGCAGCAAACCCATCCTCTTTCCTCCAAATCTTCTCCCCCAACCCAATCTCCAAGAGCAACCCTTGCAGCTTAACCACTTACCTGCCAAAAGGCTGGTTTTGCTAACAAAGCTATGAGGGACATTGTCCTGCCTTCCAGCCTTTTTTTTGTGCCTACAGCTTGTCACCACACTACGAGGTTCCTTCTGAAGCTCGTCTTGCTCCTGCCTTTTGGGGGAACCCAGGTGCTTCACTCTGGATTTAGCACCTTGCTTAAGTGGAGCACTAATGCCAAGCACATAGTTGAGCCACTCCACCCAGTTACGGGTCTGTAGTTCAGTGTCCTGCTG